CAATTGCATCCGGATGCCGGGGAAGACCTTCTGCAGCCGGTGCACCTGGCCCCGCACCAGAACGTCCCTTTCAGCCCCCGCGCCCCCTTGGCTGCAAGGCTTCTAGGACCCACCTACCCACCGGTCCCCGACGCCCGCCGAGCCCTGCAGAGGGAACCATAGCCCAAGGCCAGTGGCCGTAGGACCCCGACCGCCCTCCGATCTTGGAAGGGACCCTCGGGCGCTATTTTCCCCAACGTTCCTTCTTTCTGGCATGTTCTGAGCAGAGCGGGCGGCGGCGCGCGGCTGGACTCCTTCGGGGGCAGTCGGGTCTGTTGCGGGGCTTGGTTTCTTGGTCGGCTTTCGCGAGATGCGCTTTCGTGCGTGAAGTTTGCTGCTCGCCAAGCAAGTAACAACTTGTAGAGACGAGGAGTTCCCTGGAAAACGAAGGTGCGGAGAGATAGGAGAGGAATGTGGGGGAACCAGATTGTCTCATTCTCGCCTGAATTTCCTTGGAGAGAAATCACCATCTAATGGGGAAGTGTTTTGATCTCGCAGGCTGGGAAGAGAAAAGGTGTGAGGTCTGATTAGAAGTCCCCTTAAAAAAAACAGTCCTTTAAAAAAAAACAAAAAAACAGTAGTTTCTTTATGTACAGAAACACTTGAACGTAACTCAACCTCGAGTGGCAGCATTGTAGAAATTAGAAGCATCTTAAAGTGAAACTGTTGACTGCTGAGGTTTGGGTCTGACTATATATAAAGGAGGGGGTATTTTGAATGTCTTCTCATTAGGAATGGGGAGACCCGGCCCAGTGGGTTTCTGAGATGGCCAGTCTTCACAGTAGCACAAGGCCTCATGTCTCCCTTAGAGTGGCTGTTGGCTTTGAACTCCTTACTTTGCACTTAGCAACCTTAGAGTGGCTGGTGGCTTTGAACTCCTGACTTAACAGTTAGCAACCCAATATGTAACCACTGAGCCACCGGGACTCCTGTTGTTTGTTAACAGAGATGCAAAGTGAGGGCAACAGACAGTTTAGCGTCTGCGGTTTTAATGGTTTTAGATCACTTTACCCTGGCAAAATTATCATGGACGTGTCCAGTATGATGGTTAAGACTTCATAAGGAGCTATTTCTAAATTCCTGAGATTTATTCATACAGATAAATTCTGTCCTAGACGTGTTCTGCTGTGTAGTTACGTTGTGTATTTCAAGATTCTCTGGTGGTTAGAGTTTCAAATGAACATGAAGCTAGTAAGACGTTGGCTATTTGATTATTGTTTATGATTTAGAATAGTGGTCGATGTTTCTATAGCCCCCTGGCTTAATCCTGATACCGCAAGATTGGAGAGACATGATCCAGGGCCTGGAGCTACTTGTTCACTTAGCTGTTGCAAGCCCGAGTGTGAGCCACAGACTAGCAGAGCCTGAGGCTGGTGAAACTGCTGTCTCAGCCCCCACCCTAAGCGGACAGTCAGTCAGTCAGCGCCTGCATTTCAACAAAATCCCTTAGAGCAGTGGTTCTCAAGCTTCCTAAGGCCTCGACCCTTTCATACAGTTCCTCATGTGGTGGTGACCCCACAACCATAACATTATTTTCGTTGCTACTTCATCACTGTGATTTTGCTACTGTTATGAATTGGGCGATCCCTGTGAAAGGGTCATTCCACCCCCAAAGGGGTTGCGACCCACAGGTTGAGAACCGCATTTAACAACGTTGGTTCTTGGGAGGTAGCTCTGGGCAGACTTCATCTTCCCACTTCTCAGCAGCCAAACACATTATTTGTTTGCACCACCCAAGGACCCCAACATCGGCCTAGTGACAGCGTGGCTTTCTCATTATCCAACTTTACACCATCAAGTGAAAAAGAGTCATTATAATTATTTAAATGACTGGCCTAGATTTTAAATTTGAAAATACCCAGAAGAGGTATTGTCATTTGCCTTCTGTTTAAATGTAAGAAAGAGCTGATCTCGCAACCTTTGTTAAGTTCTGCCAACTGTGAATTCTGGTGTTTCTCTTACTCCTGACATATTTCATACTGCGTAGCTTTATACTACCTATAAAGTGCTCATGCTACGTAGTTCCTTTCATTCTAGCTCCTAGGGAGAATTATGGGCTGAAGTTCTCAGCCTGTGTGTACTTTGAAAAGTGGGTATTATATGCTTGCCAGTCCTGCTTTTAAGTCTCTGGTGAAAATTGCATCCAAAAACTTGACGCATTTATTTATCACCTGAGGTAGTTAGTTTATTGTGCCAACCTACACGTGCCAAGTTGGCAAAAGGTGGATTGAGGTAGTTAGTTTATTGTGCCAACCTGGCCAATAAACACATGTGGGGTTAATTGAAGGGCGGAGGGATAAGTGGCTTGGTGAGCCTCGCCTTTCTAGTTCTCGGGTCTCTTGCTTTGTAATGGTGGGACCAGGGTACAGATGCCTTAGCCAGTTCCCTGCTTCAGCTGGCAAGGCTCACTTCCTACAAGACATCCTCAAGGAGAAGCCGCATGGACCTGCCCTAATGCAGCCCTGGGTGCTGGAGCATCCGTGTTGAGGCCCCTGCCAGAGCTGAGATGCTTACACGTTCACTGACTCGGCTTTCCTCCTGCAGTCGGCGTCAGTCGGCGTCATTGGGTGTGTTTTGTGAGATGGAGGAGGACTTTGTGGATTGGTGTCGGACATATGGGTTAATGTTGGACTTGTGGGCTTGGGCAGCACTGGGTTGGGATGTTTTCTTAATGTGCATTTAACCTTTATATATGACTCTCTTATATATGAGTTTCTGTGGATTTGTTTCTCTAAAGTACCCAGACTAATACATCACCCCTTCTGTGATAGAAACCAGGACTCAGGTGTTTAAATGTCTGTGTCATGTCTTCACATGCATGTAAAAGCCAAACTCCATTGCCACTGAGTCCGCTCCAGCTCCCAGAGACCCTCTAGGACAGAGAGGACCTGCCCCACATGGTTTTTATTAACTGAAGCCAACCGCCTCTTCTTCCTCCCATGGAGCAGCTGGTGGGTTCACACTGCTAACCTCTTGATGAGGAAAAGCTAGTAAGAAAAAACAGCGCTTACATGACTGATATTGAATTTTCACTTCTTGAATTTTTGTACCAGAACATACCATCAGTATTTGTAGCAGAAATACAGCAACTCATGTGTATTAGAGAGAGACACACACAAGGATAGAGAATTTATTGATATCCTCTTAAAAATCAACCTTATTGAGGTTTAATATGCATGTAATAAAATTCAAAGAACTCTACTTTTTTTTTAGAACTCTACATTTTTAATTTGCATTTTAAAGTAGTTATATTTTAGTCAAGTAAAGTTGATTTGTTTTAAGGGAAGGCATATTTGATTACCAGGGTGCCTTTGCTTATTGCTAGAATAGTCCACAGAAGATGAGGGAAAGTAATACACGAAATGAAGACGATGCATTGAAGGGAAGCAGATCATGAATGTCTCATTCCGGGAAAGATCAAAATTAAGTCCATACATTTAACAGGGGTCCTCAAACTTTTTAAACAGGGGGCCAGTTCACTGTCCCTCAGATCATTGGAGGGCCGGACTATAGTTTTTTTAAAAAACTATGAACAAATTCCTATGCACACTGCACATATACTTTGAAGTAAAAAAACAAACGGGGCAAAAACACCCGGCGGGCAGGATAAATGTCCTCAGCGGGCCCCGTGTGGCCCGTGGGCCGTAGTTTGAGGACCCCTGATTTAGAAGGATGGAGACAGGTTTGAGGAATTCTTTTAATTTAAAGTTAAGATACTGAATTTAGTGACTTGGCACACTGGGAACCTGTGGAATTTTTTGAAGAGGAGGATAAACTGAAGAACATTTTTTCAAGATTTAACTTTTTTAACCGTTTTATTGGTATATAATTCATATATCATGCAATTCAATAGTTTGGTCATATCAAGAAGAGTTGTACAATCATCACCATGATCAGTTTCAGAGCATTTTCTTCATTGTACTCATCGTTATTAGCTGCCCACCCATGCCCGCCCCCAACCTCCCTTACCATATTCCCAGAGAACCATTAATCTGTTGTTACTGCCTCTATAGATTTACTTACCCTGGATTTCATATACAAAATAACAGTTTAAAATAAGCAAACAAAAATTACAAAGTAAAAGAGATCAAAACTGGAATAGAAAGGAAAGCTGAAAATCTTAAAAACTAGAACAAATTTTAAAAGATTATTAGGGAGATCTAATGATAGGGTGCTAAACTTTAACCTAACTGCATCTGCAACAATTCGCTTTCCAACGGATTCTGCATGTTAGTCAGGCTGTTCACATCCCTGGTCCATGGTTAGAAGCGGTTCACCAGGGGCTTACTCCAACTGTAGTTCCCCTTCCCTATTTTTTTAACTTAAACAACTTTTAAATGGACAACAATGATAAGATATTACATTTTGACTTAAGTACATGTGTCCTAATGGAGTTTATGATGCTCTCTGTGTGGTAACAGGACTATTCACATCCCTCAACTATAATCAGTAGGGATTCACCAGAGGCTTAATCCATTTGTGGAATCTGCAAAAGGATTTTGGGCTAACTGTCATCCAGAACCTTCCGCAAACCAGGTGTTCAAAAATTAAGCTCTGCTACCAGTCCTTCCTTTAGATGTGGTTTACATATATTAGTTATAATTTCTGGATCACACAGGCTAGTGTGCTTCTTCCATGTGGACTTAGTTTATGCCTTGCTTAGATGGCTGCTTGTTTGAAAACAAGCGTTTAAGCCCCCAGACACTATTCTTTCTGATCATCAGGTACCATCTAGTTTCTTCATCACACTTTGCTACAGCACCCGCATCATCAGTGATCTCTTCATGCGGATCAGCATCAAGCAGGGCCATGCCATAAGAACAAATTGTTCTTTGATTTGGGATAGAGTGAAGTGCAAAGGGCAAGTTTGAGATGCACAGTTTCTCCAGTTCGTTTCCTTACTTACATCCCTGTCTACGTCTATCTGGTCCTTCTTTCTGCAGGCACCTGCATTTACCACGATGCTGTCATCCGGTGACGCTGCGTCTGCTTCCTGGGAGCTTGAGGTCCGCATCGATCATCCAAATGAAGAGGAGCAGAGAGTCGTCACCCTGAGGGTATCTGGAGACCTGCATATTGGGGGAGTGATGCTCAAATTAGTAGAACAGATCAGTAAGTTCATCCTCCTTTCTGTCCCCTACATTTGACTGCCCCCCTGCTCCATCACCACCAACTCAGAGATCTGGATTTTTCTATCCATCTGAAAGGAGTTTATGTCATTTCCTGGACAACATGACTTTCATATTGTCTTCAAACTTTGTTCATATTCAAGAGTAGGTCTCTAATGTTCCCTCTCTCACACACACAAAATTGTATTGATTCTGAGAGCAAGCCCCCCAAGAGAAAGAAGAGAAATATCAGAGCCTGTAAAAGCCTCCACCGAATAGACTGCTGTTGCAAAACCTTCAGTGAGTGTTGGCAAATTATTAAAGCTTGCCAGTGGGCATGATACTCTGCATTGGACTGTGTCTCCCAAAAATATTTATCACCTTAACTCTCTGCCGTTGAGTCAATGGCAGCTCATAACAATGTGGGTTTCTAAGGCTAGAAATCGTGTGGGTTTTTTTTACTAGAACTCTTTACAGGAGTACAAAACCCCATCTTTCTCTCATGAGTGGTTGGTGGTTTTGAACTGCTGACCTGGCAGCATATCCACTATGCTACCAGGATGCCTGTGCATCCCCTTAAAGAAGTTCAAACTCAAACTCATTGCCATCAAGTCAAAGCTGACTCATACATAGCACCGCTGTAAGAAAATGTAGAACTGCCCCTGTGAGTTTCCAAGAGTGTAACTCGTTATGGACTAGAAAGCCCCGTCTTGCTCCCTCAGAGCAGCTGGTGGTTTCAAACGAGGGAACTTGCAGATCACAACCCAAAGTGTAAGCACTATGGCACCTATAATTCACATCTTTTGGCGATCACATACACACCTCTGTCTGATATACAGGCATACCTTGACAACTTAAGAAAATCCTTAACAACATCAACCTTCTCCCCATTTATCATGATGTTACCGATTGGCCCAATTGTAAGGATTTGGGTCTTCTATACGTTGAGTTGTAATTCACACTGAATTCTGTGATCCTTGATCTTCATCAGCAAGTGTTTCAGGTCCTCCTCACATTCAGCAAGCGAGGATTGTGTCATCTGCAAATCTCAAGTTGTTAATGAGCCTTCCTCCAATCCTGATGCCACACTCTTCTTCATATATTCCAGCCTCTTTAATGACTTGCTCAGCATAAAGGTTTAATAAGTAGGTAGGAGGATACAACCCTGTCGCACACCTTTCCTGATTTTAAACCATGTTCTATTCACATAGCTGCCTCTTGATCCGTGTACAAATTCTGCAGGAGCACAATTAAGTGTTCTGGAATTCCCATTCTTCTCAAGGTTATTTATGGTTTGTTATGATCCACACAGTTGAATGTGTTGACATTGCCAATAAAACACAAGTAAACACCTTTCTGGTATCCTGGGCTTTCAGCCAAGGTCCACCTGACATCCGCAATGATATTCCTTCTTCCACATCATCTTCTGAATCTGGCCTGACTTCTAGCAGTTTCCTGTCAATGTCTTGCGGCAACCATTGGTGGATGATCTTGGGCAAAATGTTACTTACAGGTGATATCAGTGATACTGTTCTATGGTTTAAGCATTCTGTTGGGTCACCTGTCTTTGGAATGGGCACAAATACGAATCTCTTCCAGTAGGTTAGCTACGTAGCTGCCTTCGAAATGTCCTGGAGAGACAAGGGAGTAAAACCAGTGCTTCATCAGCTTGTTGAGACATTGCAGTTGGCATCGCATCAGTTCCTGGAGCCTTGTTTTTGGCTCATGCTCTCAATGCCGCGTGAACATCTTCCTTCAGCTCCATGGTCTTGCTCATGTGCTACCTCCTGAAATGATGGAATGTCGATTAGTTCTTTTTGCTACAGCAAGGATGCTGCAGCATTAAAAAAATCAGTCAGCACAATTCGCCACATAAATTAAACAAAAGAGAAGACTCACAGGATATGCATTTGATAAAATCCAACACCCTTTCCTGATTAAAAAAAAACTTTCAGCAAAATAGGAGTAGCATGAGAATTCCTCAATGTAATTAGGAGACCTCACGGTTCCACTCTACGCCCATGGTGTTGCCATGACTCCGGCTTGGCCAGTAGCAATTAGGTGGAGCCATGAAAGGAGATGGAAGGGAAAAGATGAGTTGTTGCAATTTCACATGCAATGAAATTGATTGTGCTGTGCTTGGCTCTCTCTTCCAAAACACCAAACGCACTGCCACTGAGTCAATGCTGACTCGCAGAAAAACACCAGAGTGTCCAAGACTGTAACTATTTACAGGAGTAGAAAACCCAAGTGTTTCTCCCTCGGAGCTACGGGGCGTTTCAAACCGCCATCCAGGCGAATCGCAGCCCAACCCGTAACCAAGACACCCTCACGGCTCCTTGCCGATGTCCTCGTCTACTTCATTATGTTTTCCGTTTTCGCAGACATAGCCCGAGACTGGTCAGACTTTGCTCTCTGGTGGGAACAGAAGCACTGCTGGCTGTTGAAGACCCACTGGACCCTGGACAAATGTGGGGTCCAGGCAGACGCCAAGCTCCTCTTCACCCCGCAGCATAAAGCGCTTCGCCTCCGACTGCCAAACGTGAGGACCGTGAGATTGCGGGTCAGCTTCTCGGCGGTCGTTTTCAAAGCTGTCAGTGACATCTGCAAAACGCTGAGTGAGTACCCCGGAGGTGCCCCTGTCCCACTGAAGCTGCCAGCAAAGGATTATGGGGAAATGGTGTGTGTGCTCTGCCCACCTCAACCCGATGGCGTCAGAGAACCCTGCCCTAAGTATTTAGGAAGCATACTTTTCAATCCTTGATGTATTCATCTTTAAATGAGGTCACGCCAAAAGAAATATTATTGGAATCCATCAGGATTGCTTCCACAAGGCCCAAAATTCCTTCAAACGAGATTTCTAATTGAAATAGAAAAACCCACAAAGGTTACTTCCCCTCCCTGCTCCAGAGTAATCATTTCTCTTAGCGATGCTAAGATCCTTATCATGCTTAAGACAAATACATTGAGTTCCACTAAATTATTCATCCCATACAGGCCCCGCGCCCTATGACGTGTGAGGTAACGGTGCTGCCGTGTCTTGGCTGCTCGCTGACACCATGACTTCAGGAAATAGCTCCGTCCACCACTATCATTTTTAGTTTCTTTAAAGCAGAAACGTAGACTTTGGGTTGAAATCCTACTATTGTGGGCTGATGCCCCAAAGTTTAACAGTCATTAGGGACCAAATGGATCGACCCACTTGTTCTCTGTAGAGACTGGCGTAAAGGAAAACCGTGAATCATAAAGGTGCTCCTTTTTTAAAGTTTTTAAAGTGTGCAGGTGTAGTCCTTGGTGCCAAGGCCATAGTTTATCATTCAAACACAGAATAGCTGATATGAGTGGCTATCTATCTTCCCAGGTAAATTACAGACTTCATTCAGTTATGCAATGCATATTTACTATGTGGCCGCCACTCGGATGAGACGAGGAATACATTAGCAATAAAAATAACCCCAAACCCCTCCCCTCCTGGAACTTACATTTTCGTAGGCAGAGACAAACCATAGACAATACATGTAATCAATAAGGAAAGCACGTACTCTGATGTTTCACATTCACTTAATGATTATTAAAATGGTTTTCTTTCTCAAAGGCAAAAGAAGGAAGTGCATGGTGTTATGAGGAGATAGGTGGTAGACGTGAAAAGGACAAAGTGCAGTAGAGGAAGGCTTGGGAATGGTGGTGTTGGGTAGCAAGGACCAATAAGGCATTGAGGGAGGTGGGCATTGAAACCATTTCCTGAGTGCATTTGGATTCATAACACTCAGGACAATGCCTGGCACACACGAAACCAAGTCCACACCAAACCCATCGCCATCCACTTGGCTCCTAAATCGCAGAGACCCGATGTAGGATTCCCAAGACTATTAACCCTGATAGAGACAGAGAGCCTCCACTTTCTCCCACAGAGAGACTGGTGGGTTTGAACTGCCAGCCTTGCAGTTAGCAGTCCAACACTTAACCTGGCAGGGCCACCAGGGCTGCTTGGCACACACTAATTACTATAGGCCTGTTTGTTGACTGAACTAGTGGACTATAAAATATACCTTGGACAAGTGTCCCGGATACTTGGTGTTCCAGGGACAAGCCAAGGACACTTTGTCATCAGTAATACTCTAACGAGGACTTGAAAACAAAAGCCGAGGATTAAATAATTGTGTGCCCCTTGTGCTGCAGTGGAATGGAAGCGTGCATCAGAACTAGACCTTGAACTTGCTGTTTTGAAAGAAATCGAAGCCCTCAGGTGTTCTTCTCTCTTCCTGCCTAGTGTCCTAAAGGTCTCAAGTTGACATTTCTAAACATTGCTTTTTATAGCTAATCAACTGAAGCTAATTCAAAGTTAACCATATAATGGTTTTACTTTCGAAGAAAAGAAAAGGCCACAAACCTTTGGGCTTGGAGAGAAAGATGTTGTTTGGTATTGTTTTGTGATGTGTTTTGTTTTGTTTTTACTGCTTCCACTGGAAATTTTGCTTCATCGCCAGGTTTGGTGTATAAATAATGCATCTGGGCGGGTCACAGATGCATGCTGCGACCTGACTATCAGACGTCCTTGGTGACTGGGGAGCAAATCAAACTCAGTATGTAGGATGAGAAAAGAGAAAGACCTCATGGAATTGGTGCATTGACACCAGCAAAGCTGCCCAGAGACCCTGAAACATCCAAATTCTGTGGTTTTAACTGGGATCAAGGCCACACAGCATGTTGCCTAGCTATCAGGAGTTCTGATTGGCAATTGTAAACATATTTAGTTGTTGAGGGAAATGAGGTTGCTCTTAATTTGTGTGCTTGAGGAGTAGGGCATGAGCTAAGGATCCAGCACACATAGTTTATTCAGGAGGAGAAGCCAAGAAATATTGGGGGTGAAGAAGGAAGAAAAGGCCACCAATAGAGTGTGTCACCAACATAGGCACATGGTGGGCACATTGAGACCTCTGGAAGACACACCTCAGAGCCATCCCACCAGAGATGCAAGGGAGTTTAGGTGTTTAAACACCAGTTTTCGTCAGTCACTGAGAGCTGCTCTTGGGGTGCATAAATTCCCTAAACTTGGGGCCTGTTGCACGCATGAGTGGGCAGTCATGTTCGGGGTAAGATTAAGTGCTCAGAAAGAAAGGTTCATGTTAGTTGGACCTGTGTGCCCAAAATGGTGAGGACCAAAAAGAGATGGACAAAGGGAGGAAGTTGGCACCTGGGCAATGTGTAAGAGAAAGTCTTTCAGATTTTGTGGTCCTTGAAGAAAAAGAGAGGGAGGACCCTTGGTTATTTAACAAAACCCAAACCAGTCACTATTAAGTAGAATCTAACTTGTGGCAACCTATGGTGTCCTCGTGGAACTGTGCTCTGTATGTTTTCAATGGGCTGATATTTGGGCAGTAGATTGCTAGACCTTCCTTGGCTTTCTTCTGAGGTGCCTCTGGGTGGATTCGAACCACCAACTTTACTGTTAACTGCAATACCCAGGAAACTCCTTCATTGCTTAGAAAACTTTTCTTTTTAATGACAAGAAATCAGTGATGGTGAAGAAATAGGAAAATCAAAGTGCTGATGGTGATGGAAGTGATGAGCACACGGAGGAATTACACCATTGTCTTGAGTTTTGCTCTTTTCAAAGTGAGTTGAAAAACAAGCACAAGTAGAAAGAAAATGTTTTGGAAATGATGATAGCAGCATATATACAACTGTGCTTGATACAATGGATGTATGGATTATTATAAGAGCTTTCAGAGCCCTCAATAAAATGATTTATTAAAATGAAAAAGAAAAACAAACTACACATTTTTTTTTCAAACTATACATTTTACTAGACTAACTCTCCCCCCACTTTTTGACACATACCCCCAACTGATAGCCCACTTGGGGAATCTCTTTTCCCCACCTAGTTCTTCAAAAATGATGCAGTTTAGTTCCAATTACTTCTCAAGAACCTTCTAAGGGTTCCAAGTTCATTCAATTATTTTAAACCTTAGAAGAAATTTTTCTTCTTTTATTTCTTTTTAGATATTAGACGATCAGAAGAACTTTCCTTGTTAAAACCTCCTGGTGATTATTTTAAAAAGAAGAAGAAGAAAGACAAAACTAATAAAGAGCCCATCATTGAAGATATTTTAAACCTAGAGAGTTCTCCAACAATATTAGGTCCCCCAGGTAAGAATCCTGACAGGTGCTTTGTTACTTTAGTTTATTGCTGTTGAATTTCTTAAAACCCAAGAATAATGTGTTCACCCTCTTCCTCTCATTCTCTCTCCCCTCCTCGCTTTCTCCCTCCCTCAAACAAAGAAGGAAGACTAAAGTTGCAGGATTACTCTGATGAGAAAAATATATATAAGATAGAATAATAATTTATAAATTATTAAGGGTTCATGGGGGAGGGGGGAGGGGGAAAGGAGGGGGAGGGGAAAAAGGGAAAATGAGCTGATTCCGGGAACCCAAGAGGAAAGCGAATTTTGGGAATGATGAAGGCAACAAATGTATAGGTGTGCTTTACACAATTGATCTACGTATTGTGATGAATTGTATGAGCCCCGATAAATTGATTTTTTTTTTAAAAGAAAAAGATAGAAGCAAGTAGCAATTTTTCCCCACTATTTTTTAACAAGATAGTCTTGGTAACACATTATTGTACTTGTCTTTTTAATTTTTATTGTGATTTTGGTGAAGATTTACAAAGCAGATAATGAATTTTACATTTAAAGTTTTTACACACTTTGTTTTACTTCATCCTTTGTAATTCTCTCAATGTGCCACTTCCTTCCCAAGTAACCTGTGTCCACCCACTTCTTTCCTAACTCTCTGCCCTTGGGTAAACAACCTCCCCTGGCATATCCCCAAGAAGTCATTAATCCAGTTACTGTCACAATAGGTTGAGCAAACAAATAAATAACTAACTAAAACCGCAATAAAAAAGAAATCAGTAAATATTAAAAACTAGAATAAATTTAAATGGGTCATAAGAAAGATCAAATGACAGAGAGCTAACCTTTAACCTAACTGTATCGGCAACAATCCACTTGCTAATGCATTGTGCATGTTCGCAAGGCAATTCACATACCTGGTCCTTGGTCAGAGGGGATTCACCAGGGGCGTATTCCACGTGTGGTTCCTGTGCACTTTTTTTAAAAAACTGAAATGGCTGAAATGGCTTTAAAATGGGTCTAAGTCTCTAAGAGAAGACCAAGTGATAAGATTACATATTGACCTAGGATGTAAGCACTACGCCACTAGGGCTCCTAGAAATATCTCTATCTAATATATTATAATGACTCTTATTTCTCTGGGATATATACCAAGTAGAGAATTTTGTCGGTTACGTGGTCTTATCTATCCCTAAGTTTTTGAGAACACCCTGTACCCCTTTGCAAAGTGACTGGCCAGTCCCATCGGCACTGCATAAGGGTTCTAGTTATCTCTGCACCCTGTCAGCATTTTCTGTTTCCTTAAAACTTTGCGCGATGAGGTGCGATCTCATTGTTCTGATTTGCACCTCTTGAGTTACAATTGCATTTTCTTGTCTTTTCATGTGAGTTCACACAGTATCTATTCTTTTGTGATTTACTGATTTTACTAAGGATAATGTCCGTCATTCTACACTTGTCTGTCAGTTTGTTAGACTGCGGTGCCCGTTTGATGTGATGCTAGAAGCCATGTCACTGGACTATCGTGTGCCAGCAGGGTCCCCCAATGTGAACAAGTTTCAGTGGAGCTTCCAGACTAAGAACAGACACCACAGAAGGGCTGGGCGTCCAATTCAGAGGAAGGAGAGGCTGAAAACTTTATACATAGCTTCAAAATCGTGGCAGATGCTGAAAGCCTTCTGAATGGAAACAGAACATTGTCTGGGGTAGTCCTGGAGGATGGGCCCTCGGCTGGGGAGGCACTCAACTGTGACTGAGGAGGAGCTGCCTTCTGCGAGTGGAGTCAACCATGGCGACGGGAATGTAGTAAACCTGTGCTAGTGGAGCCTTCGGGTATTCACTTGCTGCTGGGCCACACTCAAGGTAAAGAGAAACAGCTGCCAAAATCTATAATGATCAGAACTTGGAATGTGTGAAGTAGGAATCTGGGAAAATTGGAAGTTGTCAAAAATGAAATGGAACACATAAAGATCGATACCCTGATTTCAAGTACTAGGGAGCTGAAACTGGCTGGTCTTAGCCATTTGAATCTGAAAATTATATGATTCATTATGTCATGAATGACAGAAGCAAGAGGAATAGGGTTGCATTCATTGTCTACAAGGACGTTGCAAAATCAGTCTTGGAAGTACAATGCCGCCTGTGATAGGAGTGTATCAACCCACGTAGAAGGAAATCCAATCAAGACAACCACGATTCAAATGTATGCAGCAACCACAAAAGCTAGTGTTGAAGGAATTGAAGAATTCTACTAACAACTTCAGTCTTAATTTGATCAAGCATGCAGTCAAGATGCATGGATAATTATTGGCCATGGGAATGCAAAAATTGGAAACAACGGAGAAGGAACAGTAATCAGCAAATATAGACTTGGTGATAGAAATGAAGCTGGGGAATCACATGATAGAATTTTGCAAGACCAACAACTTGTTCATAGCCAATGCCTTTTTTCAACAACACGCAGTCTTCTCCAGATGGCATACACAGAAATCAAACAGACTACATCTGTGTGAAGAGACGATGGAGAAGATCGCTGTTAACAGCTAAACTCAGGGCAGGGCTTGACTGTGGAAATGACCATCAACTGTGTGTAAGTTCAGGTTAAAGCCGAAGAAAATTAAAACGAGAGCCAACATATGAACTTGACTATATCCCACTTGAAACTGGAGACCATCTCAAGAAGAGGTCTGACGTACTCAACACGTGAGAGCACATCTGGAACAATATTCATGAAGAAAGCAAAGGATGATTGAAGACAGAGAAGATCAAAGTGTATGACAGAAGAGGCTTTGAAATGTGGTCTTCCTCGTAGAGTAGCCAAAGCACATGGAAAATGATGACGTCCCAGAGCTGAGTATAACATTTCAAGGGGCAACTTGAGAAGACAAAGCCCAATATTAGATTGAAATGTGCAAAGCCTGGAGCTGGAAAAGCAAAAGGGAAGAACACACTCAGCACACCTTAAGCTTCAGTAACGCAAGAAAAAAATCCAGCCTCCAGGTGCAATACTGAGAGCCCATGGGCAAAATATTGAATGATGCAGGAAACAACACAAAAAGAGGGAAAGAATACACAGAGTCACTGGACCAAAAAGTAGCTGACATTCCGCGCTTTTGGTGGTAGCAGCTGACATTCCACATTTTGGTGGTAGCAGATGAGCCAGAACCAATAGTGCTGAAGGAAGACAGTCAAGCTGCACTGACGGCACTAGCCAAAGCCAAGGACCCTGGAATCAATAGGATACCAATTGAATTGTTTCAACAAGCTGATGAAGCATGGATAGCACTCACTCATCTTGGCCAGGATATTTGGAAGACAGTTACTTGGTCAACTGACTGGAAAGAAAACCGTATTTGTGCCCATTCCAAAGAAAAGTGACCTAAAAGAATGTTCAAACTATAGAACAATATTTCTGATATCAGACGGAAGTAAAATTTTGCTGAAGATCACCCAACAATGGCTGCAGCAGTACATCAACAGGAAACTGCCAAAAGTTTGGGCCAGATTCAGAAGAAGACATGGAAAAAGTGATATCGTTGCTGATCTCAGATGGATCTTGACTGAAAGTAGAGAATACCAGAAGGATGTTTACACGTGTTTTATTGACTATGCAAAGACATTCAGCTGTGTGAATAATAACAAACGCCGTATAACTTTTAGAAGAATGGGGATTTCAGAACAATTCAACATGTTCCTGCAGGACATGGATCAAAAGGCTGTTGTGTGGATGGAACAGGGAACACTGCATGGTTTAAAATCAAAAAAGGTGTGGGACAGGGTTGTAAACTCTCACCATACTTATTCAATCTATATGCTGAGCAAATTATCAAAGCGGTTGGCTTGTATGAAGAAGGATGTGACCTCAGGATTGGACGAAGGCTTATTAACCACCTGAGATAAGCAGATGATGCAGCCTTGCTTCCTGAACGTGAGGAGACCCTGAAGCACTTGTGATGAAGATGGAGGATCGCAGCCTTCGGTATGGATTACAACTCAGTGTAAAGAAAACCAAAATCCTCGTGACTGAACCAATCGATGACATGATAAATGAAGAAAAGGTCGAAGCTGTCAAGGATTTTGTCTTGCTTGGATCCACAATCAATGTTCAAGGAAGCAGCAATCAAGAGATCAAAGGCATATTGCACTGCGTAGATCTGCTGCATAAGACCTTTTCTGGAGTATTGAAAAGCAAGGGTATTATATTGAGGATTAAGGTGCCCCCTGACCCAAGCTGTTGCCTTATTTGCACGTGAAAGTTGGACATTGAATAAGAAAGCCCTAAGAAGAATTGATGCACTTGAATTGTGGTGCTGGAGAAGAGTGTTGAAAGTACTATGGGCTTCTAAAAGGACTGACCAATCTGTCTTGGAAGAAGTGCAGCCTGAGGGCTCCTTGGAGGCAAGGATGGCAAGAGTTTATCTTACAGACTTTGGACGTCTTGTCGGAGAGACCAGTTCCTGTCAAAGTGCATCATGCTTGGTAGAGTAGAGGGCCACTGCAGAAAGAGGAAGACCTTCAAGGCGTTGGACGGACACAGTGGCTGCAACAATCGGCTCAAGCACAGGAACAATTGTGAGGATGGTGCAGGACCAGGCTGTGTTTCATTCTGTGGCACATGGGGTTGCTATGAACCGGAACCAATTCAGTGGTACCTAACAACCACAAATGTCTTTACACATAGTATTGAGATGCAGAATTTTTGTACAACTGACCATGAGTTTAGGGTAAAATTATGATTCTTAGACTGGCTAGACCAGAGCATGTACACTGGTGCAGATAAGAGCTCTCAACACACAGAATGCAGGACAGATACACCCCTCAGGACCAATAATGAGAGTAGTGATACCATGAGGGTAGGGGAAGGTGGGGGCAGAAAGGGAGCTGACCATAATGATTGACGTACAACACCCCCCACAAACCAGGGGAACGAACAGAAACGTGGGTGAAGGGAGACAGCGGACGGTGTAAAATATGAAAATAAAAATAATTTATAAATTATCAAGGGTTCATGAAGTTGGGGGTGGGAGGGAGGAGCTTATCCTAAGGGCTCAAGTAGAAAGAAAATGTTTTAGAAATGATGCTGGCAACATATATACACATGAGCTTGATACAATTGATGTGTAGATGGTTATAGGAGCTGTAAGAGCCCTCAATAAAATTTTGTATTAAATTTGTTTTTAATTATGATACTTAGAAAAGAGTTGTGTCACTCAGTTATACTTCTTTTTCCTGAACTCAGTTTGCATTGGGTGTGTAAAGGGAGGGCGGGTATCAATTCTGGAGCACTATGAACCCTTTCATTTCATATTGAAATAAACCTATCTCTAGCTTGTCAGCAATGCTGAGGGCATTCTGGAATAGCATGCTCCAATGCAAAGAATGAAAGAAATGTTTATTTGTACTGTCTTTATTCATTTTAGAGTTAAACCATTTATGTCACTAACTGACTGGGTTCCTAAAATTAGCAGATGTCTCTCTTTCTTTAAAGGAGTGTCTCCTTTATGTCTGTGCATTGCCTTCTGGGAAGTCTCCGGTCCTCTTGAATACTAAGATGAACCTTGAATCCTTTGGAAGGAGATGGTCCCTAATATATGACTGGGTTGATACTTAGGAGCTACCATAGCCTTTGAGTTCTCAAGCTTTCTGAGCATTAAATAGGCCAGCAAGAGTGTTTGCTGTGTATAACTGCTCTCCTCGCCAATTATTTTTAACAGCACAAGTATTTAAGTCTAAAATTCATTTACAAAAGAGTAATGGCAATGTTCACACTTGTTGTTCTAGAGAATTTTACCTCCTAAATCTCATCTTAGAGTGTGTTCTCTCTACCTTGCAGTGAGTCCTGGCTTATACAGCAAAACCATGACTCCTACATATGACCCCATCAATGGAACGCCAGCATCATCCACCATGACTTGGTTCAGTGACAGCCCTTTGACTGAGCAAAACTGCAGCATCCTTGCATTCAGCCAACCCACTCAGTCACCGGAAGCAGTTGCTGATATGTACCAGCCTCGGTCTCTGGTTGATAAAGCCAAACTAAATGCAGGGTAAGGACATGGCTCCATCGTGTCTGTCTCTGAACTGACAATAGGCAACATAGGATGCTAGGGTAGGGGTGGGGGGGAATAAGAATAGTTAAATTTGTATGTTAGCATGCCTGAGGGTCATACACTGTTAGCAAAAGTCTGTGCTGATTTTAGCACTAGAAGATAAAATAAACAACCTTTGGTCATTTCGGTATAGGCCATCCCTGGTTACAAGCGTGATCCATTCCTCACTGAGTCTTTAAGAATTTATAGACAAGTTGGAACAGGTGCATAGGAGTCTTACCCTTATTCAAGTGCAAAAAAAAATTGGAAGGCTTTTTGATTATTTTAAAACTGCCCTTGCAGGTGATTGTGATGAAGAATTTGCTCCAAGTCAGAAGGATGCAAATTTACATCCATGTCAGAAGGATTTTGAGTGAAACAACAATGCATGCTGACATAGGGCAGTGCCCTGCTTACACATGGCAGCCAACTGTGCCTCTCCACAGTCCTGTCAATAATCCAGTTGCACATACCCGTCTCCTGAAAGGGTTCTGTGCCTCTCCCGAGTGCCCCATTTTCCAGGGCTTCAACCCAGAACTTTTGCTGTTCTGCTTACTGTGACAAAGCACCCACATTGTAAAAATCCAGGTCTCTTTCTGTTTTGCTTCATCAGCCTTGACAGAACTAGCTCAAAATGGTTCAAAGGCCTAGTTAAAAGGCAAGGAGGAGTTGTTCATAAGTCAGACGGTCATGACCCAGGGACTGCTTGTGCCTTTAAAATTCTGTCCCCTGGGTGGTACAAATTATTAATACACTCAGCTGCTAACCAAAACGTTAGAAATTTGAGTCTACCCAGAGGCACCTTGGAAGCAAGGGCTGAAAAATCAACCTCTGGGCACTCTGGAGCGCAGTTGAATCTAACCCCCTCCCCTCCTCGGCTCCTCATGGCTTGGATCAACAAGGCAGCAAATGTTACTCCTTGGTTTTGAAGCGTGCCAAAAATGTTCTGGTGACTCAGTGGACTACTCGATGGTGAATCCTGATTCCTTGCTTCTAGAGGTGTCCAGAGCATATTGTATGGGATTCAGAGTAGTTTTGATGTGTGTTGGCTGCCATGAGGCCCCCTGGGAGATCCGAGGTGGTCCACCTGAAGTTTTCCAAAGAGCACGGCCTTCCTCTCTGGGTGAAGTGCTTTCAGAAAGCACCAAAACTATTTCTCAGATCACCATTTCTTTTGCTTTGCATTGCTTGCCAAATCAGGTTCAATTTGTTCATCAAATGGAACATTTAGTTTAGCCTTTAGTTCCCTGTAAGATATGGTTCCAGTAGACGTCCATGTAGCTTACCGTGATCTTATTCCCCAATGATGCACACCAACTGTTTCTGCCTCTGCCTTGCCGCCATGTCTTCTCTCTACTTCTGAACTCTTCTCTTCCCTGCCTGCTCTGCCCTTAAGCCCTCCTTATCCAACAATGTCCAGTTCATGTATTGTGTGCTTGTCAAATGTCACCAGTCAAAATCAATCTCTTCCCCATAATCTCTTCTTGCCCCAATGCCACCTTATTCCTTTATTATGAAGGGTGGTCTCCCTAGTGGCCTGTCGTTTCCTTTAGGAATGGAGATTCCATCTTGATCCTCTTTGTTCCCCGACAAGGCCTAATATAATAAAAGTTAAGACATTTTCCCCCGGTGGTGTTTGGTGACACTCATCTCCATCTTGTTTCATTTGTTACTTTTAATTTCCACTCCTCAACTCCTCTAGACCTGTATTGCATTTTTTTAATTTTAATAAATCATTTTATTGGGGGTTCTTGCAGCTCTTATAACAATCCATACATCAATTGTATCAAGCACATTTGTACATAAGTTACCATCATTTCCAAAACATTTTCTTTCTACTTGAGCCCTTGGTATGAGTTTCTCTTTTTCCCCGTCCCTCCCCACCCCTTCCACCCTCGTGACCCCTTGATAAATTACAGCGTCCACTGTCTCCCTTCATCCACATTTATGTTGTTCGTCCCCCTGAGTGGGGGGGGGGGAGGGTACATCTATCATTGTGATCAATTCCCCCTTTTCTCCCCCACCTTTCCCCTGTACTCATGGTATCGCTACTCTCATTATTGGCCCTGAGGGGTTTACCTGTTCTGGATTCTATGTGTCAAGAGCTCTTATCTGTAAGAGCTGTGGTCTAGCCGGATTCGTAAGATAGAACTGGGTCATGATAGTGGGCGGCAGAGGGGGAGTGTGTACGAGCATTAAAGAACTAGAGGAAGGTTGTGTGTTTTGTCGGTGCTATACTACACCCTGTCTGATCATCCCTTCCTTGTGACCCTTCTGTGGGGGATGTCCAATTGTCTACAGATGGGCTTTGCGTCTCTATTTCAACCACCCTCATTCACACTGATATGATAGTTTGTTTTGGGTATTCTGATGCCTGATCCTGTCAACACCTCGTGATCACACAGACTGGTGTGCTTGTTCCATGTGAGCATTGTTGCTTCCCTGCTAGATGGCCACTTGTTTAGCTTCAAGCCTTTAAGACCTCAGATGTTATATCTTGTAATAACCAGGCACCATCAGCTTTCTTCAACACATTACCTTATGCACCCATTTTGTCTTCAGTGATTGTGTCAGAAAGGTGAGCATCAGAGAATGCCAGGTTACTAGAATAAAGTGTTCTTGGGTTGAGGAAGGATTTGAGTAGAGGTCCAATGTCTGTCTACTACCTTAATACTTAGCCTATAAATATATGTACATAGACCTAGATCCCTATTGTTACATATTAATATATTTATATATGTGCATGCCTATATCTATACCTCTATAAATGTCTTTTGCCTCCTAGTTCTTTCCTCTATTTCCTTTTACTTTCCTCTTGTCCCACTATCATGCGCAACCTTCATTCGGCTCTCTGTACTTCCTCTCGGCTACATTTGTGCTACATTTCAAATGTTCAATAGTCCCCTGTGGATAATGGCTACCCTATTGTACAGCACACTTATAGAATCAAGTTCTGTTGGACACTAGAAGATAGAGCTACTAGAGAACAGTTGTTTTCATTCACTAGAGCAAGTTCTGTTTTGCTAGACAGTGAGACGAAGCCACCATAAAGCACATGACCTTAAACTTGTCACTAAAATCACGGCGATTCAGTTTCCTCATCTGTAAAACTGGGATCGAAGGACTGCCTTGGCCCGTCACCTGGGTTGCTTTAGAGCAGGGGCTCTCAACCTTCCTCATGCTGCGGCCCTTCATACAGTTCCTCATGTGTGGTGACCCCCGACCATAAAATTACTTTCATTGCTACTTCATCACTGTAATTTTGCTACTGTTATGAATCATAACATAAATATCTGATATGCAGGATGTATTTTCATTGTGACAAATTGAGCATAATTAAAGCAGAGTGATTAACCACAAAACAATATGTAATTATGTATTGTGAAATATTTATTTCTAGTGGCAAATAAATGAAAATTTGCCTTGAAGCCTGGTGTAGCCTGGGTAACAGGCTTCATGCTGGGTGCTCCTGTGTGGGCATATCTGCATGTGGGCGGACCCACCTGGAGATGGGTAGAGGAGCGGTGTCTAGGTTCCTAAGACCATTGGAAAGTTGTGTTTTCCGATAGTCTTTGGAGACCCCTGTGAAAGGGTCATTCAAACCTGCAAAGGGGTCGCAACCCACAGGTTGAGAACCGCTGCTCTAGAAACACGTGTATGAGAAGCATTTGGAAGACTCGAAGGTGAAACGTCAGTATGAGCGATCATCAGATTCTCTCCTGGACTGGGTTTCAGTTATTTTGCTGACCCTGACCTTGTCCAAGGCTCTGTGTGTGAAATTGATTGACCTTACAAACTCACCCTTGCATTCCAGTTGGCTCGACTCCTCACGCTCCCTTATGGAACAAGGCATCCGGGAGGATGAGCAGCTGCTGCTACGGTTTAAATATTACACTTTCTTCGACTTGAATCCCAAAGTAAGATCCTTTTTGCCTTTCTTTTGTTGTTGTTGTTTTTAATGTGAGTGCATAATAATTGTAATAGAGTCATCTTGTTATCAAGCTTAGAATTAAATTATTTGTGTGTTAGTCTATCTACCTATGCAGGGCTAGACTGATAATTGATACAGTGAACCCTCGTTTAGTGGTTAATCGGTTCTAGACTCTACCGTGATAAATGAAATTCCGCGAAGTAGGATCCTTATTTGTAAATCAAATATTTTCGTAGTTAGAGCATAGAGGACATGAAAAAACACCCTTTAGTCACCCAATTTATTAAACATATTACCCAATTTATTAAACGAAAAAGGGAAAATACAGTAAAACATTTTGGATGTTACAATTATCATTTATTATTTATTATATTATTTATGGCATCTAGTTTACAGTATTACATATTTCACATACAGTATTATTATACATAGTTCTTACAAATACTGTAATCAATAGCCTATGAAATGACTTAAGGGATGTACTCTACAGGTGGGTCGCCGTCTTTTTCCTCTGAAGGAGCGGGTGTAGGCAGTGGGTGCTGTTACGCAAAAACCGCGATAGAGGGAAGCCGCGGAAGTCGAAGCGCGAAGTGGCGAGGGTTCACTGTATCCTGGTCTCTTAGTTTTTACCTTTTGGCTTCCGGTGAGCATAGTAAGCTACCTCAACCTAGCAAGAATCTCTGGGAATCTTTTAGGAAGCTCCTCATGTCAGCAAGGAATACATGGCGCCTCTCGTTCTCAGGAATCGAGGAACAAATGAAGAGTTTCCCACAGAGCTGGAGTCCCTAACACTTGTTGTTCTCATAGACAAATCACGGCCACATGATGGTGCACACACAATTCCCCGTCACAGTGCTTAATTCGCCCCTAGGGGAGGAGCCCAGGTAGGGTCATGGTTATGAGCTGAGCTGCTAGCCTCAAGGTCGGTGATTCAGAATGACCAATTGCTTACACTGAGGTGGTGGATGGACTTTCAGCCTCTGCTCAAGCCCTGCCTCAATGCAAAAAACACTTTTTTCTAACAACCTGGCATTCTGTGATGCTCACCCTCCCAGCATGATCACTGAAGAAAAAATGGGTGTACTGTATAAGCAAATGTGGTGAAGAAAGCTGATGGTGCCCGGCTATCAAAAATATAGCATCTGGGGTACAAAAGCTTGAAGTTAAATAAGTGGCCACCTAGCAGATAAGCAACAAGTCCACATGGAAGAAGCACATCAGCATTTGCAATCATGAGGTGTCAACGGGATCAGGTAACAGACACCAGAAGATCCAAAACAAGCAAACAAATAAAACCCCATATTGTTGAGAATGAGGGGAGTCGGAGCAGAGACCCAAAACCCATCTGCAGACAATGGGACATCCCCTCACTGAAGGATCACAAGGAAGGGATGAGTCAGTGAGGGCACAGTATAGCACCGAGGAAACACACACTATTCCTCGGCTTTCCCGAGGCTTCCTCACCCCCCACTATCCTGACCCAGTCCTGCCTTTCACTGTGGGCTGGACCAGAGCATGTACACAGGTACAGATAAGAGATAAGAGCTCACGACACACAGGATCCAGGAACAAGAATGGAAGTAGCGACACCCGAATAGTAGGGGGAAGACAGGGAGAGGGGGGGAGAAAGGAGGAATGGATCACAATGATGGACACATAACCACACACACACACACCACACACACACACACACACCTTAGGGCAGTGGTTCTCAACCTTCCTATTGCCATGACCCTTTAATACAGTTCCTCATGTTGTGGTGACCCCCAACCATAAAACTATTTTTGCCGCTACTTCATAACTGTCATTTTGCTACTATTATGAATCAGACGGCCCCCATGAAAGGGTCATTTGATCCCCAAAAGGGTCGCAACCCACAGGTTGAGAACCACTGCCTTAGGGGAATGAAAGCTGATGGTGTCCAGCTATCAATGATATAGTGTCTGGGGTATTAAAGGCTTGAAGTTAAACAAGTGACCATCTAGCAGAGAAGTAACATGTCCACATGGAAGAAGCACACCAGCCTTTGAAATCATGAGGTGTCAACGGGATCAGGTAACAGACACCAGAAGATCCAAAACTAGCAAACAAATAAAACCCCATATTGTTGAGAATGAAGGGAGTTGGAGCAGAGACCCAAAACCCATCTGTAGACAATGGGACATCCCCTCACCGAAGGATCACAAGGAAGGGATGAGTCCATGAGCGCACAGTAGACCAGAAACTGGGGGGGAAGGGAGACAGAGGTCAGTGTAAGATATGAAAATAATAATATTCTACAATCTATCAAGGGGTCTTGAAGGAGGGGAAAAGGTGGAGCAGATACTAAGGGCTCAAATAGAAAGTAAATGTTTAGAAAATAATGATAGCAACATAGGTACAGATATGCTTGATAAAATTGATGTATGGATTGTTATAAGAGCTGGAAGAACCCCCAATAAAATTATTTTTAATAATATAATATAATATAATATAATATATATTTAATAACTATATTACTATTAAATATAAATAGACTTAATAAAATAAAAATATATGGTGGGGGGAGAAGAGTTTTGAATTGAAACCAAAGTGTGGTGGGGAGATAAGTGTTGCTTGAGCTAAAGTGAATTGAACTAAAGCTTATCGCCTCTGACGAATGAGGAAGGCCCTCAGTCCTCTCAGGCTTTCTGTATAACGGAATGTCAATATAGCATCCCACGCACACTGTTTCCTTCCCTAGTACGATGCTGTTCGAATAAACCAACTCTATGAACAAGCCAGGTGGACCATTCTCTTAGAAGAAATCGACTGCACAGAGGAAGAAATGTTGATCTTTGCAGCATTGCAGGTATGAAATGTCAGAGCCATTTATCTGACAGGGGGCAAAGGACATATATTCTGGTAAAAGTTTAGCGGGGGGGGGGGGGGGGGGGCTTTTTTTCCCATACTCTCCTGACAAAAATGGTGGTAAAGAGGGCAGCAAACTTACATTGGAAATGCTCCTCCTAGTCCACAGGTGCATATGGTGCAAGCCTTCGCCATCCTGACCTCTTCCCCATAACAAACACACGTGGTGTGGGGACGGGAGGAAGCACATTTCCACGGGACTAATCGTAGTCAAAAGACCCTGAATCCTTTGGACTTCCAGTAAAAAGAAAGCTTCCAGTAAAAAGATTATTCCATCAAGAATGTCATTTTCCATGCGCTTGTCAGGAGGTGCTCCGTCTTCAAAGAGGAGGAAATGGCTCCAGGGTTCATTTGTATCTCTCACATCTCTACAATTTGTGTTTTCATTTTAGTATCACATTTGCAAACTGTCGTTGTCAGCCGACATCCAGGATCTTACACATGAGTCTGAGGTAGATGAAGTCGAAGCAGCGCTTTCGAATTTGGAAGTTACCCTTGAGGGTGGAAAAACAGATAACGCGTTGGTATGGACTGCTGGAGAACTCCAGATTGTGTGGCCTTATTGAGATTGGTTGGAAAATATAGATGAACTTTTCTTTCTTTGTTGACTTACAAATGAGGCAATATTTGGTTTGATTTGGGGAAAAATATCTTCACTTTATCTTACCCCTAACAAAGCTTGCATCTAATAAGAGCTGACAAAATTTCCTACACTTAGCTCTGTAAGGAACTAGAAAGCCAAACCCAACCAGTTAGCATCAAGTCAAGTTCCACTCATGGTGAAGTGTCCCCGAGTATGTTAGACTCAAACTGTGCTCACTGAGGTTTTCAGGGACCAGGATTTTAGCAATGGGTCACCAGTTCTGGGTGCGCCTTTCTGTTCCAAGCCCATTAACCTTTGCACCACCCACGGATACAAAACATTTTTTTCCAACAGTTTTATTGGCACACAATTTACAAATCATACTATTCAATCATTCCATTGTTCAATCATAGCAAGGAGAATTATACAATCATAACCAAATCCATTTCAGAACATCCACCTCCCCCACCCATGGTAGAAGACATTTGTATTACCATTAATGACAACACTTTTGTATTGTATGCCTTCCTAGGGAGAAGTTGACCTGGTGTAAAGGATAAGACTGTTGAGGGCTCTTTACTAGTGTGGGACACAGAAAGAGTCCCTTAGCTTAAGTCTAGAAAAAAAGCATCCTGTCCATTGCATGGGGCCGCTTTGAGAATAGAGTGTGTTAACCATTTTTTTTTAAAGCTTTGCTGATACTAAGTCTCAGCACCTAGTTGCCCTGCAACTCAACTGGTCTAGGTAGAAGTGAGGTTCTCTGACACATGCCCTTGTTAAAAGCTCCTGAATCCTTTTAACTTCAGGAAATAAGAGACTTTTAGTAAAACATAAAGAAATAAAACTGTTTTATCACCCCCTGTTCCTTATCCATGAAATCTGGTGGAATGCCAGCTTTGTCATCACAAGGTGCCTCCTGTTTGATGCATTCATTGGGCACCACCCTTTTGCTGGACTCTCACAGTGCAGCCACCCTGAGCCAAAGACGTGGGCCCATTGTAACTGAACCTAAGCAGTCATACTCGATAAGAATGAGTCACTGTATTCATATGCGTTTAATGTGTGTTCGCTTATCATTGAGTGCCCTAAAATAGGAAGTCATACTACATAAAATCAGATACTTAATACAAACAGAAAGCCAAGACAGAGAACGTGTCTCACATTGCTAGCAGGCATGAGCCCCATCACATCAGAGCTGTCTTTCATGTACTTCCTCCCCTGAATAGATACAGCAGAATAATAATGCTTCTTACAATAAATGAAATTCCCCCTATTCTTCCCTGGATATTTTTTATATGACAATAAACAATAGGCTATTCAGTCTGAAAATAGGCCCCCGCCTACAGTACAAAATGAACTTTGGATCAAGTTCCTTTGAGTGTTTCATCAGTGAACTAGGTGTAGCTAGAGTTACCCACCGTCGTGTAAATATTATAAAATATTTTATCTTTCAAAAGAGTTCTTGCTAACTCAAATTTTTAACGCGAATGGTATGGACAGGGAGTTATTGGTCCATTTCCTTGCCTTTTTTCCTTCATTTTTTTATGATATATGAACTATGAGTCAGAATTGACTCAAAAACAGTAGGTGCAACTGGTGCAACACAGCAATTTAGTGCTCAGTGGTCACCTAGTCAAACAACAGCAATGAGTCAGTCACCTCAAGAACTTTCACGAACTCATTCCATTCCCCGCCCGTCCTATTCCCCTTGAAATGCGGTTAGTGTTACAGAGGACTGAAGTTTTTTCATTTTACTTAACGTTAACCTATTTGAAGTGAAATAACCACAGTTGGTGAGTAGCTATTGTATTGGGCAGTGTATCGTGTATGGTGTATCGATACTACCTGTGAAATGACTGCATGTGAAGTATTATCTGTTTTTCCTTAGGAGGACATTACTGATATCCCTAAACTAGCAGATAATCTCAAATTATTTAGGTAAGTAACCCTAAAGCCAGGGGAAGGGGTAACTCTTAACAAAGTCTTGCAAGTAGAGAGGCTGGGGGCTTACATTGCCCATCTGTTTAGACAGGTTCAAGGTTCGATGGTGAGAAAATCATAGACTTCGGCATCACTCAGGTTGGCTGAATGCTAGCACCATGGCACACACCAGCTGGGTGACCTTGAGAATGTCCTTACATTTCTGAGCCTTAGTTTTCTGATCTACAAAATGGGAATATATATTTCCTCTTGGGTTCATTTGGGAGGATTAAATATAGTAATGATCCTCTAGCTCCTAAATGCTTCCTCCCCGCTCCCACTACCATGACTCAAATTCGACCTTGCAAGTCTGGCTAGACCAGAGGATGTACACTGGTACAGATAGGAACTGAAAATCCAGGGAATCCAGGGCGGATGAGCCCTATAGGACCAGTGGTGTGAGTGGCGAAACAGGGAGGGTAAAGGGAGAGTGGGTAGGAAAGAGGGAACTGATTACAAGGAACTATATGTGACCTCCTCCCTGGGGGACAGACAACCGAAAAGTGGGTGAAGGGAGATGTCGGACAGGGCAAGATATGACAAAATACCAATTTATAAACTATCAAGGGCTCATGAGGGAGGAGGGAGTGGGGAGGGAGGGGAAAAATGAGGACCTAATGTCGGGGGTTTAAGTGGAGAGAAAATGTTTTGAGAAATGATGTACAAATGCGCTTTACACAATTGATGTGTGTATGGATTGCGATAACAGTTGTATGAGCCCCTAATAAAATGTTTAAAAAAAATAAAAAATAAAAATAAAGAGAAGAAAATAAATAAATATAGTAATGAATATAAGGCATTTAACACAGTGCTCAAGAAATACGGGGTATCAATGTGGATTCCACTGGCAGTAAGGAACGTGGGGCCAGACTGGACTTCCTGTGAGGGTCCACCTCAGAAATGTAAGACTCCGACACCACTGGACGGCCTTTTCACTGTTTAGAAACCAGTCAACTCTAGGACTTTGATCCTGGGTAAAGGCTGTCATTTTATCTACTTCAGTTTCTGATAAACCTGCCAGGGACCTCAGGTTGATAGGAAACCCTTCAGAAAAGCAGCGCCATTTTTGTTCCCATGGAAATAAGGGACGTTTACATTTATGATGGTGCCACGGTGGGTTAGGTTAAAAGGCGTAAGGTTGCTTTGAAGTTCTTTCAGTTACTTTCGTCCCTTTATGGTTTGTTGACTCTCCTTTAACAAACCGACATTTCACTCGGGTCAGTTCGACTTCAAAGGAAACCAGGGTTAGAAAAGAAAGACAGACAGACACCAGGATTGCTATTTGATAAGATAGGATGCAAAGAATGACGTGGAATGAATAAGCAGTCGTAGATGCGGTATAAATCAGAAACAAGCTCCCCACCTCAGCAATAGTTATCACTGAGTTTCTGCAGTTTTTGTTTTTGGTAGGGTCACAGGAGGTGGTCTCAAATAACAGAATCATAAATTAGCTTCCATGACACAAATAATTACCATCAGGCATTAGTCCTATTGTTAGTGTCAGAGCTGCAGAAGGTAACTATTGGAATCCACAGGTATATCCTTCCAAAGAATCAATAATTGTCCTATAAAGAAATTGGGCTATCACACTATCCACATGCAAATCCAGCTCTTCAAAAACAAAACTATAGCAGCTCCCTTCCTAGAGGTGCTTCTGATGAAGGAGGTGAGATCCTGGAGGCAGTCTCGACGTGCACATCAACCACGCTGCACCGAACTCTCTTTGCTGGCCCCGGGCGTGAGTGTTAGACGCATACTCACAAGTTAGCCTTGTAACGTGGCCAAGGAACACTTCCATCTAGCTTATGTCGGAAAATGCCCATTGTATTGCACAATACGAGTCCAGGAAGGAAGGAAAAGAAAGAGGGAGGCAGAGGGGGGAGGTGGAAAAAGGGAAGGAGAATGGGGTTTTGTCCCGTGTGTGGCCTTTAACAAGCCCTGCCTTTCCCTGAGCCTCTTTTCTTTATCAGCACTGGAGGACTGGACTAATCCTTTGATATCCAGGGTTCCTTGTTTGCTTTTCTGCTTCAACAATAAGGTTCTTTTAGGTTCTAGCAACATAGATCTGATCTTCAGCAATCCCTAATCTCACTATAACTACATAGGCGTGCTGGCTAAAAGAAAAATAAGAGAATTGCAAATAAAAAGTGGAGCCTGATGTAAGACGAGGAAATCCCACCTTGCAGGAAATAAGAGGAAACCTCATGCTACCAGTGAACCCTCAGCACCCGGGAGGGTTGGCGGCGCAGCAAGCAGTTCCCCCGGCAGGGGAAGGGCCAGGAGGTAAACTCTGGGACAATAAAGGAACAGCCAGCGCTGTATTCCGCATCAAAAGGAGGGACATTGTGGGAGTTTCCCCATCAGCGGGAGGAAAGTCTTCCTGGCATTGGGTTCTATGTAGGGAAATGAGAAGCCCTCCAAGGAATCTGGACGTAGGCCTGTGCTGCACACGAGTGTGAGTCTAAGTGTGAATGCGTCCTAGCAAAGCCCTCACTGAAAAATAAAACACACACGCGTCTAGGAACACCACATGATGAAACCCTAGCAAATGCAGGTGCAGCCACACTCAGAGGGGACGAGCTGCAGTCCAGTCTGCACGGGCCACCAACAGAAACCACTCCTTCTTGTTTGTTTTTTTATTATTATTTTCTCGAGGGCTTGTACAACTCATCACAATCCATCCATCCATCCATTGTGTCAACCACATGTGTACATGTGTTGCCATCATCATCCTCAAAACATTTGCTTTCTACTTGAGCCCTTGGTATCAGCTCCTCACCTTTCCCCACCTTCTCCCACCCTCCTTTCCTCCCAAACCCTTGATCATTTATAAATTGTTTTTTTTTTTCCATGTCTCACACTGTCTGATGTCTCCCTTCACCCACTTTTCTGTTGTCCATCCCCCAGGGAAGGGGTTACATGTAGAACATTGTGATCGGTTCCCCACCACTCATTCTTTACAAAAATGAGTTTCCAATAAAATTACTCACCATAGGAGCTAATGAAACACCATAAAATAGTGACAACAAAGCCACAAGTAAGAGGATTTACAGTTTTAATAATTTTAGTGACTAACACAAGCTGAAAGAGCCTTGGTGGCATAGAGAAGTACACAGTGGGATGCATACTACAAGGTCAGCAGTTTGAAACCACCAGCCGCTCTGGGGGAGAAAGCTGAGGCTTTCTACTCAAGGAAAGATTTAGTCTCAAGCAATAGGAGCAGTGCTCCTGTGTCCTAGCGAGTCACGGTGAGTCAGAACCAACTTAATGGCAGTAAGTGTGGTTTGGTTTGGGAACAATCTGAAGGAACCATAAAACAAATATGCTTAAAATTATTAGTAAATGTAAAAAGTAGATATCATAGTAAAAGAGAGCGGCAGTATCTAAAAGAATTCCCAGAAGAAAAGATATGGTTGTAGCAATGCAAAGTCCAATAGCACCTCCAACCTGCGTTACAAGGTACAGCTGAGATCACAAGAAGGTGGGCGTGGAAAATAAGGGGTGCATTGGTTTAAAAGGTCCGATACATGTCTACTAGGAGTTTCAGAAGAAGGGATGGAAGCAAGTGCATTTGAGAGTGCTTGAGAATTGTCCATCATATCGAAAGACAAAGCCCCAGGAATCACAGATCACAAGTGCATAACAAATCGCACGAACGAGGATTTTGATTAAGCCAACTCTTACCAAGATGTTAAAAAGCAGCTACGCTGCAGAGCAGCTCCAATTAGACAGGCAGCAGACATTTCTTTCTCTAGCAACAAACCCAGGCTGGAATCGATCTTCAAAAAGCTACACAAGATAACAGTTTCTCTGGCTTTTAAGGCTCTACCAAACTACCTTTCAAAATCAATCCTACTAGTTGATTCGATATTTGATTATAAACATCCTGATTGATGAAAAAAACTGTAAAGAGTAACTACTATTCCTTTGGAATAAATAAAAAGGATTCCACAGCATTATATAGAGAGGTCACACATAACGTTTATTCATTGCAGCATTTCTAGAAGTCCGCTCCTCTGGCCTTTGAAACCCGAGTCACCCCCAAAGTTCAAAATTGCCCCACTACCTGCCTTGCCCTTGACACCCTGAACTTTTCTAGCCCAAGTACAAAAGTTTTCTCTCCTCGCTGTTGGATAGCTTCTCCCACCTCCACCCCACTTCCACCACTCCCGAATTTTTTAAATAGTATGGTCTACCTCGAATAGCTGTAGGTTTTCGTGGTTTCCATTGTACTTTCTGGGTGGTTTGTCCACTTTTATGTTTGGTATCTGAAACGGTTCATCCCCACAGCCTTTTCAGATCCCCAAAGTGTGCTGGAATTCCAAAAATCATTAGCTGAGGTGTTTTCCACATCCTCCTCCAGTAGCTATGGGATCAATTCCAACTCATGACCACCTGCGTGTTAGAGCAGGACTGCTCCTAAGGGTTTTCAGGGGTGGGTTTTGCCAAAGTAAACTGCCAAGCCTTTCTTCCAAGTGCCTCTCAGGAAACCTGAGCCTCCACCCTTACGGTTCACAGTCTTGCATGCTAACTGTTTGTACCACCCAAGGACTTGTGTCCACAATAATTTACCAAACACTTAGCAATGCACTGCAGCCTTGGTGGTATACCGCGTTACACATTAGGCTGCTGACCACAAGGTCAGCAGTTTGAGTCCATCGGCCACTCCATGTGAGAGAGACGTGACTTTCTGCTCTCATAAACAGTTACTGTCTCGGAAATAGTCAGGGGGGTCTTTTCCCTGTCCTATAGTGTCCCTATGAGTTGAAGTCCACTCAATGGTGTTGAGTTGAGTGAGTCTTCAGTGCACTGAGCTGCATAGCTTACACCGACTGTCTCATTCACTTCTCATAAAAGCTCTGTGAAATAGAGACAATTACTATCCATTACAGAGAAGCACTAAGGGCCACCCAGACAGCTAGAGTATCTCAGTCACCCATCTGATAAGCAGTAGAGCCAGGATGGGACCCAGGTGGTCTAACTTCAGAGCTTGTGGATGAACCTGTCCAATCAAACCATATTTCTGATTTCTAGAAATGAGTTAGTAACTTGAATTTTTCCTCTAAAAATAAAGAGTATGTTGTTTACAGGGATCTATGGAGAACCTTGATTGGCTTGAAATTTGTAATATGTTCAATATTTCTAGATGGTTGTTTAAATCCTTGCCATATCTTTATTTTCAGGCCCAAGAAGCTGATGTTAAAAGCTTTCAAGCAATATTGGTTTGTCTTTAAAGACACATATATCACCTATTTTAAGAACAAGGAACTTGAACAAGGAGAGCCAGTGGACAAACTAAATCTTAGAGGTAAGAGTGGCTAATGGCCTGCATCTTGCTACATCTTGTCCTGACTCAGCAAGAAGATGAGCAGCGAGGCTCCTACAAGGAAGGTTTGCCTCCAGAGGGCGTCTACAGAGCACTGGTTCAGGACGGCAGCCTGCATCTGCCGCTCCCCCTGGAACATGAGCCTTGGACTGTGATGGAGGAAGTGTGGTAGATTTTGCATTCTGCTTTCCCTTCCTTCTTTCCTATTGTCCCCAGATTCTATGGAACATCAATAGTTGGCATTGTAATATCCCGAAAAGCTTTCTGAACCACAAAACAGATTGAATTCAACGCAACTTTAATGGGTATCTTAATTTCTGAAAGGGACTATGAGCATATTGGCAACTCTACATTGACAGAAATATCTTGTTAACCAGTACACTCAATTCCCTTGGCATGGTGGCAACCGGAGAATCCCCGCTGCTTTATTTTCAAGTTTATGTTTATATGAGTGGCCATGAGTAAAGTTAGATGCCCTAGTGATCAAGTGGTTACACATTGGGCTGCTAACTGCAAAGTCAGTAGTTCAAAACTATCACCTGGTCTTCAAAGAAAGATGAGGCTTTCTAGTCTCATAAAGAGCTACTGTCTCACTCCTCTGCCCGACCTCAGCCTGTGCTCCGGCCACCTTCGCTATGGCGACCGCAGCCCCAGCGTCGTGATCAGTGACGATGATCCAGGCTATGGCCTAGATTTATTTGATATCCCTAACTATGATGTGGAGGATTTGGAAAAGGCGTTTATTCCTCATGGACTAGTTATGGACAGGACTGAACGGCTGGCTCGATATGCGATGAAGAAGGTAGGAGGCCATCCCATCGTGGCCCTCTGTGTGCTCAAGGGGGGCTAGAAATTCTTCGTTGACCTGCTGGATTACATCAAAGCACCGAACAGAAATAGTGACGGGTCCATTCCTATGACTGTAGATTTTATCGGCCTGAAGAGCGACTGTAATGACCAGTCAACTGGGGACATAAAAGTAATTGGTGGAGACAATCTCTCAACTTTGACCGGAAAGAATGTCCTGGTTGTTGAGGAGATCATCGACACTGGCCAACCTTTGCAAACCCTGCCCTCCCAGGTCAAGCAGCATGACCCAAAGATGGTCAAGGTTGCCAGCTTCCTGGTGAAAAGGACTCCTTGAAGTGTTGGCTATAGACCAGCCTTTGTTGGCTTTGACATTCTAGACAAGTTTGTGGTAGGATATGCCCTAGACTTGAATCATGAATCATGTCTGAGTTCTCAGCGAAACCGGAAAAGCAAAATACAAAGCCTTAATGGAGTTGCCGAGCACGTCGGGCGCCACCCCCCCC